CCCAAAAAAAGGTGAAAATTCAGGAAGTGGGTTCTAGCTTGACTCAGTTAAAGCTTAGAAAGATGAGCCAAGTTTGCTTAAAGTATATTCTATCCCTTTATAAATATAAAACCAACTTGATGGAGTACAGATCTAAATATGAAAGGTAAAACAACTCTCAGGGGAGAAAGAAACAATGCCCCATGTCACCCAGACCTTGGGATGGATGAGCAAGGGTATCTGAAATATTGATAGGATACAAATAGTGCTAATCACTGAAGTGAAAACATAAACACTCTGGACTTTCTTTAAAATTTTAACTTCTGGGACCAGCAGTAGGCGTAATGACTATGTAGCTGGACTACATGATTGGAGACCCAGACCTGGTGGCTTAAACTCATGCTGGGCGCATGGATGTGTGTGCCCATCTCCGGGGGGGGGGGGGGTGATTTCTCGCTTTCTCTCTTTCTGGCGAGTGCACAGAAAAAACAAACAAACTAAAACACCTAACAAAAAAATTTTTTTTAAACTTTTGTGGTCTGCTCCATGGCCAGATGGTTAGGGCAGTATGATCCCACATGGAGTCCCAGACCCAGTGGCTTGATAAACACTCATGGTGCCAAGTGTATGCTTGCCCCAAATCCTAAAAGCATAAAGAAATAGAGAAGGAACTGCAGCATGAGCATGCCCCAGAGGGGTGGCTTTCTCCCTTCTCCATTTAGAGAGTGCACATACTCTGGCATTTAAAACAAAAATGACAACAAAAAGAGGGGCTGACAGGTGGCATGGTGGTTAAAGGCATTGGTCTCCCACGAAACTGACCATGGTTCAAGTCCCAGGCCTGGAGGTTTGCTTTCTCACTTTCCCCTTCTCACTCTACTTCTTTAGTCAAATTAAAAACAAAGAAAGAAAATTAAGTAAAGAATCTTTAAAAAAGAAAGTATTTCCTGTTTTCTTGGGTAGATACACATGAATGGACTCGTATAATGACAGACTTTAAAAAAAATTTTTTTAAGTTTGCTATGGAGTACATGCACTTGCTGGAATGAGACAGAAATAGTGGAGAAGAGACAGAAAAAGTGAGAAATCATCCACTCAGCATGTTTCTCAGGCTGCTAGGTCTAGGACCCGAACCTGAAAGCTGGTCATGTGGAATCTTTGAGGCCACCAGCTGGCCACAAAGGTTTAACATTTTAAAAAGCTGCCAAAACTATTTTTTGAGGTGGTTGTGCCCTTTTACATATAAGAGCTAAAGCTGGGTATGAGAGTTAAAGTTCCTTTACATCTTTGTTAGGTTTTAGTACCAAGATTGTGCCAAAACTGGGACCAGCAGTTAGCGTAATGGCTATGTCGCTGGACTCCCATGTAGTCGACTGTGGTTCGAGTCCCGGACCCAGTAGCTTAAACTCACACAGGGCGCATGTGTGCAAGATCCTGAGAAGAAGGGATTGTGGTGTGGCCATCCCCCTGGGGGGTGATTTCTTGCTTTCTGTCTCTCTTTCTGGTGCGCGCACATGCCCTATAGCTAAAAAATCCCCCCTCCAATAAAAAGTGTCAAAATGAACTGTATGAAATAACAGTTTTGGTGTTTTCTAAAAACTCTTTTGGCTGAGAGCATATGAGAAACTGGGCTGTGGTCACGTGGGACCTGTTTCTGAACTTTTACCCTGCTAAATGTACATTCTAAGTGTAATCCCTCCAAATTGTTACCCCACCGTGTTATGTGTATGTAAGAATATACAGGCCCTAGGGAGCCACCCTAGTGGTTAAAAGTGCTGGACTCCCACATGACCAACTGTGATTTGAGTCCTGGACCTGGTGGCTTTCTCTCTCTCTCTCGTCAAATTAAAATAGTTAAATGAAATAATTTTTTAAGAGAGAGAGAGAGGGAGAGGGAGAGAGCTGCTAGATCCGAGTCAAACTACAGTCAGCCAGCACCTTAACCACCAACCCACCTGCCAGTCCCAATAAAGTAATTCTTAAAGAAAAAAAAAAAAAGAATATACAGGCCCTAAAGGGAGCAAGTGGAAATGTAACACTTTTTCTTCCGGATCGCACTAGAAGGCTGGCTGGCGAAAGGAGATCACTGATCAAAAACCCTATTGAGGCTGTCTCTTTCTCCCACTGTGCACACTCTCCATCATCATAAAAAAAAAAAAAAAAAAGAGAGACAAAAAATAAACTCAACCCTGAATTCTAACATTTTGGAATATTGGCTATTATTTTTTAAAATGTTTAGATTTTTGCTATAGGGTGCGTGTGTTCGCTGGAGAGACAGAGAGCAGAAAGGGAGAAATCACACTCTAGAGATGTCTAAGCTGCAATCCCTTCTCCAGTCTCTTCTCCAGATTGGGGAGGGGGGAGGATGAGTCCCAAACACTACATCTGCGCTGGCCCAGAAAAGGTATCTGCCCAGGAAGTTTTCCCTGGTATCTTTTTCTGCCTCTAAACATCTGTAGTAATGCCCTCTTTGGACATTGGAACTTCTCTAACGCTTTTATAAACAGATGTCCAGTGTTTATTTCTTAACCAGATCTTTATTTAGCCTTTTCATATTATAATAGAATTATTGGGATGTGAGGCAAGGACATTTTGGCTTTCAGACTATTATTATTAAACAAAAACAAAGCTACACTAGATTATTCTGTAGAAGGATGAACATACTTAAGGCAATCTAAAGCCCTCTAGTGACCCATTTTCTCTCCTTGAATAAAAGTAACCATCAATGGTGCCAGAACACCTTTTAAAGTGCAGTCTTTTGGATTAAAATCCATTACGCTTTCTTCTCCAGCTTTGGTTGATTAAAAGGAAAACGATTTTGTGTCCTTAAGAAGAATCAAAAGTAACACTTTACATGTGTATCTACTTAATCCTCCCAACTACCACAAGATAGGTACCACTATTGTCTTTATTTTAGAGATGAACAAACAGTTCATATAGCTATTAAATGTGGTTTGAATTCAATTATTATTACCAAGGCCATGTACTAAAGCATTTCATTATGCATTACTACTCTTATAGATTACCAATAATCCTTCCACAGGCGTCTCTGGGGCTGATAGTTCACACATCCTCAAAGGTCAGGCTTCATCTAGTTGGCTGTTTGTTGCTCTAACATCTACCACTTTTCAGATAACTTTTTTTCCTAGTACATAACCTAACCAGTGTATCTCTGCCGGACTAGTAACTGGAAAATGCTCCTATAAAGATTTCCAAATGGACTTAATTAAAATTAGGTAGAGATTCCTCAGGTCTTTCTTGCTTAACTTGCAGCTGTTATATGGTAGACAGACTGCAAATGGTGGTTTAACGAATACTAAATGTCCACAAAATATAGGGCACTAAATCGTGAACTCTACAGAATGGAGCATTCAAGTCCTTCAAAGGTTTAACTTCTGCCATCATTTCAAGAGCCACACTGAGGGTGTACAGTTTCACTTAATGAAAGTAAAAAGTAGTTAAAGCCCTTCTCTTACTTGGCACAAATTCTTAATAATCCAAAAAGCCAAGTTTAGATTATACCGTTTTTGCCTAAGAATTCGGCGAGAACAAAGCCCTCTTCCGTTGTAATAATCCCAACAGCAATCATTTTGCCAAACGCCTAGCACAATCACTAGTTTTCAACATCTGCGAAATGGAGGAAATACTAAGCTTCCCCAAATTATCTGAGAAAAATAATCGCTCTTATACTGCATATGTCATGTGTTCAGAACAGAGCCTGGCACATAGGAAGCACTATGGTAAACGTTACAAGTGTCAAAGCTTGAAAAATAAAACCTGTGACATTTCGTCTACCACGATTATTGTTTTCTACAATGGAAAGGTTCTAGACTTCGTACTAGAAACAGGGTTTCCCAACGGGCTTTATGAAGTATCGGCAGCACGTGTCCGCGTAGATTTTCTTCTCCAGTTGCTTTTTGTCAAGAGACGGCTGCGAGTGCAGCCAACATTCCGAAAACGCCGATTGGCCCGCACCCTGAAGCCAGGCCCTCGGCGGGGCCCAGGAGCTCATTGGTCGCCGCCTCTCAATGAAGCGGGCCGCGCCGGTCCCTCCGCCACTCCACCACCTTTTCACTGGTGCGCGAAGGCGCCGAGGCAGCGGCGAGGGCCTGGGAGGGCACCGGGCGGCTGCTGGTGTGAGTGCCGCAGGCGGCCGGGCCCGGGGGTCCGCCGGTACCGCCTGTGCTCCCATGCGCCTGGATTTCCACAGCCATGCCACCCAAGACCCTCTGCGCGACCAGCCCAGCTCTCCCGCGTGCCTGCCCGCCGCGGAGTGGCCCGAATTCCCTTGCTGGAGCTTAAGGCATTAAAGGTATTATGTCCCCAGTCGGACAGGCCTCCCTCCCGTAAATGCGGGCATACCTTACTCCACCCTCCAACTCCTCTGCCCTCCGTGCCCTCCCGGGTCCCGCCGGCTCGCGAACAGGTTACACAACCCAAGGTCAAGAGACGGGAGAGTAGCCCTCCGCGGGTTCCGCGCCGCCTCGCCGCGAAAGGGCTCTGGTGCAGAGCACGTTAGGGCGGCGGGGGGGGCCGGGGGGCCCGGCCACTGCGACACACACCGCGGAGCCCGCCCAGTCCCCGCCGCCCGAGCGCCACACGCCGCCCGCAGGGGCCGGGGCGGGAGGCCTGCTCACAGCCCCTCAGCCTAGGCCGGGAGGGCCCCTCCTCGGCGCCCGCGGCAAGAGCGAGCCCCGCTACAGCCCCGCTCCCTCCCTCCCTCCTCCATTCCCCCAGGCGGGCACGCCCGGATCAGCGCCGGCCAGAGCCCGCCA